TCTCCATTATTTCTTCGCGTGCCCCCCGTAAGATTACCAGTATTACTATTATTACAATAACCACTATTATTACAATTACTACTACTATGACTATTATTACTTTTAATACTATTATCACTGTTAATACCTTTTCTTACTAGAGTTACTCCTTGTGATGTGATGAAGCTGAAGGGCTCGATCTGAGCCATCCCCTCCCTGAATGACAAACCCCCACACAATACTCGATTTAGGGTTTGGGGCTTGGGATTTAGGGTTTGAGGTTGTTTAGGGTTTAGGGGTGTTGGGCTTAGGGTTTGGGGTTTGGGATTTAGAGTTTGGGTTTTACTCCACCCAATATGGGGGCTTCCCAAAACTAAGGGTCCCTTTTTAGGTTCGCTTTACTAGGATTACGGTACTTTGGGGTCTACATTGGGGTCTCCTTTCGTGGGAAAGTACCATATATGGCAGAAGTACTATCCCTAAACCCTAAACCCCTAAACCCTACACCCTATATATGGCTGGGAGTTGGGAATTAGTGCTTCCGGGGTTAAGGGCTTGGGGACCTGAAATAGTAGGAGCCGTACTACACTTCGGACCCTAAAAGGGACCGTGACTTTGACACCTACCCTATACTGATACTCCATTGGGAACCCTGAACCCAAGACGGAGGTCATCAGTCTGCTGGGTCTTCCATGCGAGCTCCCTGCCCAAACCCCAGACCCCAAACCCCACCCAACAGTAGACTGCCTAGGCAGCCCTCTGCAAGGGTTTTCAGAACACAAAGCCTATGTAGGGCTTCCGTTGAGAGGTATATACGGGACAATAGCGGCATATGTGAGGGAAACTAACACCTGAAAATCCCTTGGAAGAGACTGTAAACAAGACTTCACCAAAAGCCTGAATCTAAAATCTGGGTGGGAGATGCGTGCACGCCAGGGCAACGTAAGCCAGAGCTTCACAAACCAGCGCGGCGTGTGACGTGCTTGAAGGGTCGGACTTTTCCCCAGCCGTTGCCTTGCGTACTTCAGGGTCGATGGGATTTAGGGCTAAGAGCGTTTCAGAATTTAGATGCCTTGTCACACCGTGCTGGCTATGATTACCACCACTAGTACTGCTTCCCATCTTCAGGAAGATCAGCATTGTGGCCCCTTTAGCGCTGTATATCTCCTTCCCCCTAAACCCGTAACCCTAATCCTAAACCCAAACCTTCAAACCCTGAACCCTCAACCCTCAACCCCAAAGCCTGAAGCCTCACCCCTGCAGGCCAAATCCTCAACCCTCGTCCCTACACCCCCAGCTGAGTAGTGTTTTTTTTGGTGGTTTTAAACCCAGTAAGATTATATACCTTATATAGAATACAATACCCAAAAGGAGGATATAATCTTACTCTGTATAGGGTGGCAAATGGCAACTGGCCTTTCACGCGCTTAAGCCATGTTCATCCCAAATCTTGAACCCGCTCGCCCCGGAAAGAGTTGAGCCATAGGCTCTATTTACAGCAGCCCCTGGGTCTCGCACCAACAAAGCTGAGCTCTTGGGTTTAGGATGGTTTAGGGTTCGAAATGTATTCTTCCCTCTGCTTTTTGTGCATTATGTTGCGGTCTGATGACTTTTTGCTGTCACATACTTCGGGAAAATGCATTTCTTGTACAACACGGGTTTTGCCTATCCAGACCCCGAAATATTGGGTTCACTAGTAGTGATATATTAGGAATATGTAGGCGCTCAAGTACTATGACTATGATCGCTTGTGGTCACTATAAGTGAGTTAGGGCCCAACCTAAGGTATATAGGACTTCATAGGGGACAGTAGGAGGATGTTGGTAACACCAACCCGTAGATTCAGGAGTCATGTGACCTATAATCTAAACTCCTTATATCCCACTTAATAAGCCCTATAATCGGCCACTATACAATCCCCTATGTAAGTGCCTTTAAGGAGTTTAGACTACAGCTCATCTGATAGTTATAGGCCAGTCCTCTAAGCTTCCGCTGGCCTCAGCAAACACCGGCTCAGGTCTTACGGATCACGCGAGCTTCAGTTCATATACACATCTGAGTCTTAAGGGTTTAGGGTTTAGGGATGATTGGGTTTTAGGGATTTGGGTTTCCTGTTCAGGGTTTATCTAGGGAATCACGGAAAACCAGATGGAAAAGCGATGGGAAATGAAATGGAAACTGAGATTATATCGGTGATCGTAGGATTAAGATTTCGAACATCGTTAATGGAAATGACATGGGTGCCTCATTATAGGGACTATAGCGATAGCAAACTACCAAAGACACCCCTATGTCCTTCCTTACTGGTCCCCTGGTGAACCTAATACTGAAAGTGGTTCATGAAAGAAGTGTTTAGGGTGCCAGAGACTCCCATGTATTTGGTCAGCTCAAGGGCTCTTGCACTGACACTGCTTGACATTTTCAAACTCTTGAAGACTCGTCACAGTTGCTTAATCTTGCTTACCTGAGTTGACCCATCGACCCACTAACGAACCCAAACTAGACAAACAAGAACAAAACCTAGTATCCCCAAATAAAATACTGCTCAGCTCTAGACTCTTTCAGGATCACAAAGGGCTTCCGCCGGCCTTTAGAAGAAGGCCGTGTCCCAGGAGCAGGAGAACTCCAAGCACTGGCCACAGCCATGTGTCCTGCTCTAGGTAGGTATACTTTGCAACGCGAAGGTGCTTCATAGCAAGACCCTCAACCCTACATGTAATCATAACTTGAACGTTTTCTATCTAGGTCCTGCTTAGGGGATCCTCCTCGGACCAGTCAAACAGTTGGGGCTTCAGGATTCTGGGGCCCTAGGTGTTAGCTACATGCTTGGGGGTTCAGGTTAAAAGTTTGGTCTTGGGGCTAGGTGTAGGGTTTGGGGGGGTTTCGGGTTTGGGGTGTGGGTCTCCAGGACTTCGGCTTCAGGGTTTGGGGCTCAGGGGGCGGCTTTTAGGGCTTGGGCTCCCTGAACCCTAAAGCCTAAACCCCTAAACGCGAGGGCCCTAGGGCCTAAGCTGTCTAGAACTGGGACTTCAAATATGGCGACAGACTTTTGCAGCACAATTTTCATCAAGAATGACTAGGTATATCAGATGGCCAATGGGAAAAAGCAAATCCTAACGAGACTGAGAAGGAGGATGAGGGGGGAGGGGGTTGCAAATCCTCCCCTTACTCCTTCTACTCTCCTTCTACTTCCACTTCTACTTAGGGGGTTCCCGAAATTAGGGGTACCATTTTAGGGGATCCTCATAATAAGGACTATAGTATTTTGGGGTCTATATTGGGGTCCCCTTACTTTGGGAATCTAGCACTTCCATGGTTATTTCTACTTCTACTTCTGAGGTCCACGAAGGCGCTGAAGACCACGACGAAAACGCTCACCAGCGCCGCGGCTGCTAAAAGGGTCCCCACCACCTGGGCCACCGCGCTCTCTCCAAGGCTTGGGGTATAGGGTTTCGGGTTTAGGGTTTAGGGTTTTTATATGAACCCTAGTCTAAACTCCTATTATCCCCCTTAATAACCCCAATAGTAGTCCCCTATATAATCCCCTATAGAACCCCTTTAAGGAGTTAAGACAATAGCTCATATAGGTGTGTGGGGGTTGAAGGTTTTGAGCTTAGGGTTTGGGACATTCGGGCCTTATGGTTTGGCACTTTGTGAAGTTGGGGTTTCGAAATTTGTGATAGTGTCCTCTGAGGTTTCCGTAAGGTCCTTGATAGGAGGCTAGAGATATGGGCTCTTAGGCTTTTTATGGGGATTCTGAGGACTCTTCTGGCTACATATAGGGTATATAGTAGGTATATAATGGAGTTGAATTATGCGCAGTGTTTTTTTGCATCGGAGATTAGCATATATGATTAAGAGATTTCAGGTTTTGAGTGTGTGGCTTTGGAGGTTAAGGGTACTAACAGGAATGACAATGGCACCTTAATGCGGTAAACAAGCTGCTTTCATCTTTCAGGAGAACCCTCTGTCCTTGGCTTAAGATCCTGCCACACAGCCCACTGCAATAGAATCCCAGTAGCTGGAAACTTAGGCCACAATTCAGGCCCCAAGTCTGTCTAAAAATTTAGACGATCCCTGGCAATCTCCCAAAGTCAGAGAGTCCTCGGCGCTAGGATCTCAAGCTTGAGTGTTTCGAGGTTTAGCACTAGGAAAGGTGTGTTTGGATGGGTACAGGAGCTTAGAGAACTTAAACACTAAACAAAACCCTGCGCTTCTGCTGAAAGCACCAGGTACACCTCAAACCCGAAACGCTAAACAGCTGAGCCCAGTGCCAAGGCCCAACATGGGCCTCTGCTCGCTTGCGCACCCTCTGCTGGGAGCAGGCCCTGCTGCTCTTCAAGGTCCTTCTTATGATATTTTGGTTTAGGGTTGCAGGGTTTTAGGCTTCAGGGTTTTAGGGGTTAGGGTTTCAGGCTTTTGTCTTTAGGGTTTCAGGTCTTAGGGTTTGGGGTTTCAGGGTTTTACGGTTTGAGCTCAGTCAAAGGCATTCTCGTGTGATTGGTTTCCCTCAGAGAAGCCTTAGATTGCCCCTAGATAGTTTCCATTCCAAGCACGCAAGCCTTATGTAAGAGCACCCACCTGGTAACTACCCGGGTTTAGGATTTGGGTTTTAGGGTTGCTGAGGTAGGGATCGAAGGTAGGGATTGTAAAGAGGGATTCAAATGTAGCGGGAGGTGTAGGGGTTAGGGAGAAGAGAAGGATGTAGAGTTTAGGAGCTTTGGGTTCAGGGATTTCAGATTTCTAGTCTTAGCTTTTCTGGATGAAGGGTTTCGGATCGCTGGGACTTAGGAATTGCGGGTCTAGGAAGTTTGGAGTAGCAACCCGAAACCCCAGACCCCCAAACCCCCTAATCCTTAAAGCCTGTGGACCCTATAGACCCTACAAGTATAAACCCTATAAACCCTACATACCCCTATGCATCCCCATGTATCCCAATACCCCAGCCTTTGAAATGGTACCTCGGATCATATTAGGACGACACAGAGGCCCTAGGGCTCCTTCCCCGGAGCCTGGGAGAGGCCGAAGAGGTTTGAGAGCGGCGCTGGCATCTTTGCAGAACGCTGCTCGGAGGCGGCCATGGTTCCCCTGATTTCAGGTTGGGGTTTAGGGTTTAGGGTTTAGGGTTTAGGGCTTAGGCTTCCGGGTTTAGGGTTTAGGGTTCAGGATTTAGGGTTGAGGAGCTAAGGCTTACGGAAATTTAGGGTTGAGGAATTAATGGGGCTTAGGGGAGTTTAGGGGTTAGAGTTTTAGGAGCAACTACAAGAGGGGAGCTCTAAATGGGGGAGCAGAATACAAGGACCATGGGGCGTCATACAAGGGGTATTTAAAGCTATGTAAGGCTTCTACATAATCCATAGGACTACCATGGGCTTCCCTAGTACATTGGACCCCAAGATTAAGACCTTGAAAAGATTTGGACTTGTCAAGGCTTCTCAAGACTTGTTCGTAGGGGCCGAAGCACTTGGGAGTGGGTTTTGGGGAGGCATTACACTATTGCTACATAAAAACTATCAAAGGGAAAAACTTTGGTGAATACCTTAGGATTTAAGTATCAGAACGAGTTGGGGTGGCTGTGTATTTCCCCAACGGACGGAATTTGTCCCAAGAGCGCGGAACTTCACACTTGAGGATCCACAAACCCTGCCCAAAACCTAAACCCTCAACTGATGAAAAACTAATTACGGTATCATCCCACTATAATGGGGTTCCAACGAAGTGGGTTCCTAAAAAGACACTGTATAACTCACCCCCATTTCATGTCCAAGCTCCTTTACCCGTTGATTCTCCAACATTGGTACCCCAAAGCTTAAACCCTCAATGCTAGCTTCCATTTTCTTGTCAATTATTACAACCCTAAACCCTGTGTATCCTTATATGGTAGTTTCCAACAGACAGACATCCCCTCATATACTATTCTCCTTATTGTGGGGCTCTACAGAGGGACCCCTGAACCCTAAACCCTAAAGCCTTAACCCTTAAACCCCAAACCCTAAACCCTAATTAGAGCAACACTGGGTTGGGCCGTGCCTGCCAGCAGAGCTTACAGCACACCAGTGCCAACGCCAGCGTTTAACGGCTGCGGGGATTGCAGGGTCCCTCAAAGGACTCAAAGGGGATTTAGGGTTCAGCGTTTAGGGGATGTAGGGATTGCACAGGAGGACATGTGGGGTTTTGGGTCTTAGCAAGTCCTTAAAGGGGAGTATACAGAAATGATCGGGAAATCACGTGCGAATTCAAGATTTGTTTCCTAGATTGACGGAGGCAGCTCATGCGTTGGAGTCTATGCCTTTTGCAGCTGTACAACTACAAGTGCTGACAAGTGAGTGGAGGAATGAAAAGTTACCAGTTAGAGGGACACGTTCAAGCGGGCAAGCATGACAGAGCACCGCTGAGGCTGGTATTGCGAGGGGGAAGATGTGGCATCCTCCCATAAAGCAAACTCCAGATGCTCCCGTGCTAGGACGCCACGATCGATAAAGGATCACACTAACAAAACTTTCCTTACACACAGAAGCATGACCTTGCGAACTGTCAACCCTAACCCTGCATCATCTAAATCTTGTACATTTCTTCATTCTACGTGACCCCAGCTGCTTTTATCCTACTGTGCCAGCACGATACCTTCCTTCATACCTTGATGAGGAGCTAATTGACGGCTAAATCCGCAACTGGGAACTCAGAACCTGACAGCCAAGCTTGAGATTGAATTGGAGACTTGCTGCTTGATTTGGCGGGCTTAGGATGGGATGCCCAAAATGGCACCTCTAATTTCACGAAACCCCATAGAATTGGACCAAGTGTACGGTCGCCTCACCTGCCACACGCACTTTTTCTGCGCATGGCATGTCAGGCATTGCCATTGGAGGCCTTCAGTGCTTGAACCTGCAATTCATGTTGGATCAGTCCCCCACCCAGTATTTGGTACCACAAGAGACTATTGATTGTATCTTAAGGCCCTATCGATTCCATGTTTAGGCGCTATCACTGTAGCGGGGATTGACCTAAGTTTCATGCAGAGTGGGGGCTCCAAAGAATAGGAATACCACCCTAACAACGGAGCTCTACCCTTGAAATTCTCTGCCTCAATAAGGAGAATCAAGGAAGAACTCCTGGTGAGGAGGGTGCTTTAAGTCCGTAAATCTTAGTAGCTAAGACCCAGGAAAAAGGAGGCTTGTTTACAGTTCATGATGTAGGGTTCAGGATGAGCAGTCAGCAGGTTTAGGGTTGACTGATCAGGGGTCCAGGGTGTAGGCTTTAGGTTTTAGGGGTTAGGGGCTAAGATCTAGGCGGGCAGAGCCATAGAGACAGAGAGAGAGAGAGAGACAGAAAGAGTCTCACAGACATGAATACCCAAGTCTACGATGGGACCCGCATTCGACAAGTTAAGCATAGCAATAGACTGCCAACATCAAAACCTGAGCCTCCAGACCTAACCCTTGAGGCATAGACTTTGAAGTAAAAACATAATGCATCCAAGGACGCGGCCTGTGTTTAAGACCCATTGTAACATCGTGCGGGTCACAGACGCAACTGCGCAGAGTATCTGGGCGCTTCAACCAACCAATCCCCAAGCTCCCCAGGAGCACCACGGTAAAGAGCCATCACCCAGAACTCGGCACAAAAGCTCTGCAAAGACCAAGCGCTGTTTGAGGCCTGAGGAGGTCACTATTGATCGAGCCTTGATGGGGCAGGGTTCCTGTACGAATGAACAATGCAACGGAGGAAGGTCTCACCCCTGTAAAGCCAACTACCGCTATGTACCCCTGTATCCGCCACATATATCTATATCCCCCATATGCCTCTATATAACCCTATATACATATCCCTTTATACCTTTTCACCCTATATACCCCCTTTACCCCTACATACGGCTACATGCCCGAACATACAGCGTTTTACCCCTCTATCCCAAAGGAAGCAGAATGAGAAAGGCACTGAACATAAACCCTAAACCCATAAACCTTAAACTCTAAATAGTAATTTCTATTATTCCTGTCTAACCCCTACATCATACCCCTATATTCCCAGTAGGGGTACAAGCCTAAAACCCTTGCTCAGGAGAGTAGCGTGTTTTTTGGTGGTTAAACCCAGTAACAGTATAATCCTTATATAAAATACTATACCCCAAAAGGAGGGTATAATCTTACTCTATATTGGGTATAACATAGTATCCCCAAACAAAAAGGAGGCCTGTTCGTTCAGCTGCTGCCGCTCAGCCTGCAAAGCCTTGCAGCGCCTCGGAGCGAATTTAGGGTTTAGGGTTTAGGGAAGTGGCGGGAGGTCTTTATTGGGGTCCCCCTATTTCGGGAAACTACCAGATCTTCTTTTACCACTATTCTGGTCTAGGATGCGCAAGTTGGGCTGCGTCGAATGCTGAGAGCCCACCACAAGGCTCAGCATGCTAATACAATAGAGGGATTACATGAGAACGACGGAAAAGAAAATGGAACCTACTATTGAGAGGTTCTATATATATGGGGGATACATAGTAATAATGGAGGAGAACATGGAAACTACCAATTTAGGGTGTAGGGTTTAGAAAACAAACATGAAGTTCAGGCACCTGCAAATTACTTAAGAACCTAAGCCCTCATCACATGGGAGTTTCCCAACACTGTAATCCTTATCACTGGGGCACCCGAAAAGGGACCCTAACTTTTTGGAAGCCCCCCAAATCTCCCGGGCATCAAGCCTGAGCATTAAACATCGTGGGCCCATCAGCACCCAGAATGTCGTGTCTTCTGCATTGGAGAATCTACAGCCTTCGTCGTAACCTTGCAGCATCAAAGAAACATGGCACCAACAGGTTTGACTACAATTATTCCAATGCCTACCTCCGATTAGCAGGGAAGGAAGGCATGAATCCTAGTAGTAGGTCCCTATATAACCCAATTAGATAGAGGTTTCCACGTTCTTTCATTCGTTCCCTCATTCCCTACTAGCCAGAGGTAAGCCCAGTCTGCGGGTTTGAGACACGAGTACTGGCATAACATCCAGACGCACCATGCTATAAATAGACTCCGAGCACCACTTTAGCTAAAATGTAGAGCCGCGTGGAGTCTGCAAAAGCATTGGTCTGGGACATCAGAACATGATGCCTTAGCTGCTTCCTCATAGCGTAACAGTTGCCACAAGAAGCAACAGGAGCTATAGTAGCCGGTGAATACATACCCTTCGATGACAAATACTATGTGGGAATGACCCAAATGATACCTCTGAGCATTGCCGAAAGGCCTAGGCAGGCTCACATTACGAAACAACTATCGTTATCCATAATCGAGATGGGGATCTATAGGTTATAGCCTGATTACAACTTGAATCCTCTTGCTAAACCCTATACACC